AGTCAATTGACTTACCAAAAATCAAAAAGGGTTTTTTGTTTAAAACTGTTTAAAGCAGTTTTATAAGGTTAGTTTAAAACACCTTCAAAACATGTGAGTCACATGATGTGATAATAAACCCAACCAACAAACCACATTAATTTCTTATTAAACAAAGACACACAAAACAAACTTGTAATGTTGACAGTACGGCTCAAACAGGGCATTCGCTTTATTTACAATATGTCTATGTTTTAAACTGTTTAAAACGTTTGTTTAAATCACTTTGTTTTATTACTAACCTAAATGAATTAAATAATAATCACTTTAAAATTGTTCATAAGATCAAGTACAGCAATACCAATTCTGTCAACCTAATAGCTGAAGTCTCACCTCAACTTTTAAAAAAGATTCTTGAAATGGGCTACCTATATGTGGAATGGAAAAAATGTAAAGTTTTTGAGTCTTTAAATGTTACTCGGTGTTACAAGTGTTCCCAATATGGTCATGTGGAAAAGGATTGCAAAAAATCAGAGCCTTCATGTCCAATATGTGCCTCAAATCACAGAATACAAGACTGTAAAAATGATAGTGCTAAATGTATAAATTGTGTAAATCATAATGCTCGCTATAAATTAAATTTAAGTGTCAATCATTCTTCAAAACAAAATTCTTGTCCGATGTATCTTAAACAAGTGCAACAGCTTAAGTCAAAAACTAAATATGGAGATGAGGAGTCATAGCCATCAAAGTTTAATAATAAATCTTGTGTAATTAAAATTGTGCACCAAAACATGCAGTGTATTAAAAATAAAATTGAGGAGCTTGAAGTATTTTTGCTGGAGGAAAATATTGACATCTTATGTGTAAGTGAAAGTTGGTGTTGTGAAAATGATTTAAAGTGTATAAGTATCGATGGTTATAAAATATGGCAATCCTATTGTAGAAATTTGTTTCTGCATGGTGGTGTTATAATTTTGGGAAAACAGTGTATCTCTAGTTTTAAAATATTAGATTTAAATTATCTTAACATTGAAAAGGTTTTTGAATGTATTGCAGTAAATTATACTTTGGAAAGTAAATCTTTGACTGTTGTTTGTATATATAGATCTCCCACGGGAGATATTCAACAATTTTTTCTAAAGTTAGAGGAAACAATGAATTTAATTTATAAAAAATATCCCTTTTCTTCTATTGTAATTTGTGGTGATCTGAATATTAATTTCCTTAATAATGATCATATTAAAATTAACTTAACAGATTTATTAAGTTCTTATAATATCTATAACGTTTTTAATGAACCAACTAGATTTACCAAAACATCAAAGACTGCTATAGATTATATTTGTACCAATTTTAATGATTGCCTTTTAAATAGCAGGATAATACATAATGGGTTATCTGATCATACAGCGCAATGTATCTACTTTAAAGTCACCCCTAAAGGTACTCAATTTACCTATAAGTCAAGATCATATTCAGCAAAAAACTTGGATATATTTAAAAATTACCTTAATTGTGAAAGTTGGGAGTGTTTAAATGACAATGACAATAATGATGTACACACTAAATTTCAAAATTTTATAAACATATTAGAATATTATCATAATATAAGTTTTCCTATTATATCTAAAAAAAGAATAAATGTACTTAAAGATAATAAATGGATTACATCTGGAATAAAAAAATCATCACAAACACTAAAAATATTACATACCTTACTTAGATCAAATTCAATTAATTTAAATTATTACAAAAAATACAAAACTATTTATACCAAAGTCTTACGTTTAGCCAAAAAAATGTACTATGATAAAAAAATCGTGAACTCCAGTAACAAAACAAAATTTGTTTGGAACTTAATAAATTCTAATGTTAAAAATACTGACCGTGAAATTAAAATATCAAGTATCACTATAAATGGAGAAGAAATTATAAATCCTACTGAAATAGCTAAACAATTTAATGATCACTTTATAAATATTCCTAAAAAATTGCTTAATAACAATCAAAATTTTATAAATAATGCTGTTCAAATACCTTTTGTTAATAAAACCATTTATTTATCTGATGTCACACCGACTGAAATCAACTACATATTGCTTAGTCTAAAAAACTCGCATTCCACTGGTTATGATAACTTGTCAACAAATTTATTAAAACATTGTTCTTTATATTTAGTCAAACCTCTTTGCTATTTAATCAACTTATGCCTGCATAAAGCTATTTTTCCTGATTGTTTAAAAATTTCAAAAGTTATATGTTTATTTAAAAAGGGTAATCAAAAGGATATTAATAATTATAGGCCAATTTCATTGCTTCCAGTAATTTCAAAAATATTGGAAAAGGTTATTTTTAAAAGAATTGTCTCATTTTTAAAATGCAATAGTATTTTAGCCCAATCTCAACATGGCTTTACAGAAAAACGTTCAACCATGACAGCGCTGTGTAGTTTTTTGGATTTTGTGTATAGGCAGCTTGACAAGGGAAATAAAGTAATGGCTTTATTTGTAGATTTAACAAAAGCTTTTGACTGCGTTAATCATGAAATTCTCTTAAGTAGATTAGAATATTATGGTTTACGTGGTCACTGTAACAAACTTTTGAGATCATATTTTGCTAATAGAAAACAATTTGTTTCCTATAATGGGGCCAATTCCAATGTAAAAATAGTAGATATAGGGGTTCCCCAGGGCAGTGTTTTGGGGCCTCTTTTGTTTTTGTTATATTGTAATGATTTAAATCAAATAATTAATACTTTTCATTGTGAGTTTGCAGATGATATAACAGTGGTGGCTTCAAATACCTCACAGTTAAATACAGTAAGACAAGTTTGTAATAATCTTGAATCGCTTGCTGAATATTTTAAAGCATCAAAATTAGTTATGAATCAACAAAAGACTCAATTTATGCAATTCCATCCCTATAGTGCACATTATGTATGTAGTCCGTTAATTAAGCTTAACAATACAAGCATTGAACAAGTGTCAAGTTTTAAATTGCTGGGAGTTTATGTTGACCTTTCTTTGAATTGGAAGGTCCATATAGACTACCTTTGCAAGAAACTATCAAGCAATTGTTATGCGCTGAAGAGGTTGAATGCTATATCCAGCAAGTTTGTTGTCAAGACTTTTTACTACTCAAATTTTGAATCACATATTAGATATGGTATATTATGTTGGGGCTATTCAACAGATGTAGATAGAGTTTTTAAAATGCAAAAACGTGCGATTCGATGTATGTTTGGTCTAAGTTTTAATGAATCTTGTAAATGTTTTTTTATTAATGAATGTATTTTAACTGTACCCTGTATTTATATATATGAAATCCTAAAGTTTGTAAGGAATAATATGGACAAATTTAAGTCGTTAAACATAAATCACACATATATGACAAGATATGGTTTTAATTTGCAACATGATCGTCATAGAATGAGCTTATTCGAATTGAATCCATTATATATGGGTCCAGTACTATATAATATATTACCAGCTGAGTGGAAAGTTTTACCACTTAAAAGATTTTTTAAGTGTGTAAAAGAGTTTTTAATAGCAAATGCTTTTTATTCTGTAAGGGAATTTCATATGTATGCTTTTTAATATCTATTTTATCTATTTATTATTTTAATCAATGCATTTTGTGATTGTATTATGTTATATTAAGTGTTTATGTTTTTTTACTTGTTGTTTGTTTATGTTATTTATTACTGCTCATTATTTAGTACCTGCATGATACAAGTTGTATTTATATTTAATATTTATATTTAATACTTTTGTAAAATAATTGTTGACTTGTCCTATACTCTGTTTTGTAGTCAAAAGGATTAATAAATTTATTATTATTATTATTATTATACTATTTATTACTATATATATTATACCCTATAGGGATGTGCGAATATTCAAATTTACTATTAAGACAAATCGAATTGAATATTTAGATTTCAAATCCAAACAATTGTTGACGTCTGTCATCTGTCATTTTTAACATTTGTTTAGTGTCCTTTTTGTAATCTGACATCTGTCATATGTCATCTGTCATTTATGACACTAAGTCTTGTTATTAATATTTTGCATTTGTCACCTTTTAACATGGTTATTTTTTACATTTGTTTTTTTCATTTTCTCCATTTGTTTTGACAACTGTCATCTTTAATTTTTGACCGGAGACGTCGGTTTCTTGTTTGTAAATTTACAACGTAACAGCTCGAGTCCAATCAAATCATTTGATTCAAATGAAATATTCAAATAGTTCAAGTTTATCGAATATAAAGTTTTATAATTATTTATTCCAATTTCTTGTTATAAATATCGAATTAAACCATTAAATATCAAATTAAACCATTTTGTTATCGTCCTTTACTCAAAAAATTCCTCCGATCATGAAATCCCTCACAATTGTGAGGAATCTTAGACAGAAATATGTCTATAGGCAACAAAGTATACGTTAGTTGCATTATACGTCTTTATAGCTATTAGAGCTATATAGACGTATAGAAAGAATTTATTTATTTGAATTAAGATAAAAATAAATAAATAAAAGCCAAAGTTGCTTGTATTATTGGTGTTTATTGTGTAAAATAACAAAAAAGTGATAAATTAATAAAATACAAAGTAGCAAGAGTTTTATGTGGAAAACACAGTTTTAAAAAAATCCGCAATACTATCAAAGAGACTTTTAATTGCGGTACCAATGAGTTTTAAGCCATTTTTGATACCTTCTACAATATCCATTACAAGTTTTTTTAGCCAGTCAAACAAATCCGTAAAAAATTCAAGGAAGTGTCCCCAAAACGTAAGATATTCATCCTGTTGCGTTGGAGTCATGTCTTCTAAAGCACCCATAGCTTCTTGACGTTGATTTTCGATTTTCTTTGCCATTTCATCGAACATTTTTCCAAGCCTTGCCATATTTCCTTCGGTGGTGTATATGTCTGCGTTGGTTTCCTTTAAAGTTTCATGGATATTATTGGCTTGTAGAAGAAAGAAAGTCTTCAACTTTTCGTAATTCGTTTTTTGAGCCTTAGAAGCATCTTTTGGTTTTTCTTTCGATAATTCTTCAGTTTTCTCCCTCAGACATAATATTATTGTGTTTGCGCGTTGGATAACATCACCATTAAAACTATTTTGGACATTTATTACACTCGAACTTTGAACTAAAGACATTTTTAAAAAACAACAGACTCTGTTGAACAGAGATTATACTAAATAACAATTTTAAGACAAGACTGTAGATACTTAAGTGCTTTGACAATGTTGCCAAATTTAATTTGTTTTCGCGTTCTCAGGATATTTTTAAGTAAGAGAAATAAAATTATAACTTTATTACTGACTTACGTTTAAAAATAGTATGGGTACTTTTTGTTTTAAATCGCTCTCCTTTAAAGTCATTAAAAACCATACATTTTATAAGAGTTAAAAACTGGATAATCATAATTTAGACGGCGATTAGATCTGGCAACTCTGTACCTACGCTATAAATAGAAATGGACTGAAATGAAGTTGGGTATTTTTTGTGCCTTATTTCCCACTTAAATGTAAGGAGGGAACTTACAGAATGAAGTAGGTGATTCCCCTTTACAAATGAACGCTAAACAGCACAATTAATAGGATTAATCCTGGAGTACCTAATATTAATAATTTTTTATTAAAATTATTTTAAAAACAATGGCTATAAAAAGTGCTTTATTAAAAATATTACAACAAATTTATTAAATCTCAAAATAAAGTTTTTAACATTTTAAGAATATTTGGGATGGGCCAAATTTTTTTGAAAATTATATGTTAGTCATTGTTCCTGTGTTTAATTAAAAAAATGTATTTTATTTACCTACATGAATAGTTTTTTTTATTACAAAATGGAAATTAAAAATGAGGTTAAACTTTTTTGCTGGTAAGTATATTGTTTTAAACCAAATTTTAATATTAAAATTAATTATTGTACTTACCTTGACATAAGGATTTTTTAGGAGTAAATAAATATAAACATTTGTTGTAGTTTTTATTTAAATTTACAGTATATTTAAACAAATATATTTAAGAAGATTAAGAAAACATATTTTTAAAGAATGCAATAATACCATCAAAACATTTTTTTATAGCATTGCCAACGAGTTTTAAACCCTGTTTGATACCTTCGATAATTTTATACACCAATTCCTTGAGCCAATTGAACAGTTCCATAAAGAAATTAAAAAATTGTCCCCAGAATGAAAGGAATTCTTCCTGTTCATCCTCTGTCATAGTGTCAAGTGCCTCCATTGCTTCTTGTTTCTGATCTTCAAGTTTTTTCTGCATTTTATTAAACATGGCCTCCAACTTTTGTTTGTTTTTTTCGGTGCTGCTTTTCTCGGCTTTTGCTTTTTCGACGGTCTCTTGCATTTCGTTGGCTTCCGATTGGAAAAAATCTTTAAAATTTTGGAAGAACCCATTTTGAGCCTTCGTTGGTTCTTTCAGTTTATCTTTGGACAGCTCTTCACCTTTTTCGCGTAAAACCAACGTCAATTTTTTTGCCATTCCGTCTATACATTCATTTGTTATTACTTCCGTAGCTGAACCAGAAGCCTGGCCACTTGTTTGTTTTGACATTTTAATTTGTTAAAATAATTGATGAATTTTTTAGTATCGCTTAAGCAGTACATACAACGGCGAAATTTTAAACAAAACTGAACGAAAAATTTCAATGTTAACTTAACTGACTCTGCGAATGCTATAAATAGATTAAATTATAAACATATACGCTCCTTGGTTTATGTTTTATCATATACAGGATTTCCAGATAATGCGTTACCATTTTTTGGCTCAAAATAAGCTGATTTCGCATTCTACTTAAGTAGTAAGTCAATTGACTTACCAAAAATCAAAAAGGGTTTTTTGTTTAAAACTGTTTTTTATGTTTAAAGCAGTTTTATAAGGTTAGTTTAAAACACCTTCAAAACATGTGAGTCACATGATGTGATAATAAACCCAACCAACAAACCACATTAATTTCTTATTAAACAAAGACACACAAAACAAACTTGTAATGTTGACAGTACGGCTCAAACAGGGCATTCGCTTTATTTACAATATGTCTATGTTTTAAACTGTTTAAAACGTTTGTTTAAATCATTTTGTTTTATTACTAACCTAAATGAATTAAATAATAATCACTTTAAAATTGTTCATAAGATCAAGTACAGCAATACCAATTCTGTCAACCTAATAGCTGAAGTCTCACCTCAACTTTTAAAAAAGATTCTTGAAATGGGCTACCTATATGTGGAATGGAAAAAATGTAAAGTTTTTGAGTCTTTAAATGTTACTCGGTGTTACAAGTGTTCCCAATATGGTCATGTGGAAAAGGATTGCAAAAAATCAGAGCCTTCATGTCCAATATGTGCCTCAAATCACAGAATACAAGACTGTAAAAATGATAGTGCTAAATGTATAAATTGTGTAAATCATAATGCTCGCTATAAATTAAATTTAAGTGTCAATCATTCTTCAAAACAAAATTCTTGTCCGATGTATCTTAAACAAGTGCAACAGCTTAAGTCAAAAACTAAATATGGAGATGAGGAGTCATAGCCATCAAAGTTTAATAATAAATCTTGTGTAATTAAAATTGTGCACCAAAACATGCAGTGTATTAAAAATAAAATTGAGGAGCTTGAAGTATTTTTGCTGGAGGAAAATATTGACATCTTATGTGTAAGTGAAAGTTGGTGTTGTGAAAATGATTTAAAGTGTATAAGTATCGATGGTTATAAAATATGGCAATCCTATTGTAGAAATTTGTTTCTGCATGGTGGTGTTATAATTTTGGGAAAACAGTGTATCTCTAGTTTTAAAATATTAGATTTAAATTATCTTAACATTGAAAAGGTTTTTGAATGTATTGCAGTAAATTATACTTTGGAAAGTAAATCTTTGACTGTTGTTTGTATATATAGATCTCCCACGGGAGATATTCAACAATTTTTTCTAAAGTTAGAGGAAACAATGAATTTAATTTATAAAAAATATCCCTTTTCTTCTATTGTAATTTGTGGTGATCTGAATATTAATTTCCTTAATAATGATCATATTAAAATTAACTTAACAGATTTATTAAGTTCTTATAATATCTATAACGTTTTTAATGAACCAACTAGATTTACCAAAACATCAAAGACTGCTATAGATTATATTTGTACCAATTTTAATGATTGCCTTTTAAATAGCAGGATAATACATAATGGGTTATCTGATCATACAGCGCAATGTATCTACTTTAAAGTCACCCCTAAAGGTACTCAATTTACCTATAAGTCAAGATCATATTCAGCAAAAAACTTGGATATATTTAAAAATTACCTTAATTGTGAAAGTTGGGAGTGTTTAAATGACAATGACAATAATGATGTACACACTAAATTTCAAAATTTTATAAACATATTAGAATATTATCATAATATAAGTTTTCCTATTATATCTAAAAAAAGAATAAATGTACTTAAAGATAATAAATGGATTACATCTGGAATAAAAAAATCATCACAAACACTAAAAATATTACATACCTTACTTAGATCAAATTCAATTAATTTAAATTATTACAAAAAATACAAAACTATTTATACCAAAGTCTTACGTTTAGCCAAAAAAATGTACTATGATAAAAAAATCGTGAACTCCAGTAACAAAACAAAATTTGTTTGGAACTTAATAAATTCTAATGTTAAAAATACTGACCGTGAAATTAAAATATCAAGTATCACTATAAATGGAGAAGAAATTATAAATCCTACTGAAATAGCTAAACAATTTAATGATCACTTTATAAATATTCCTAAAAAATTGCTTAATAACAATCAAAATTTTATAAATAATGCTGTTCAAATACCTTTTGTTAATAAAACCATTTATTTATCTGATGTCACACCGACTGAAATCAACTACATATTGCTTAGTCTAAAAAACTCGCATTCCACTGGTTATGATAACTTGTCAACAAATTTATTAAAACATTGTTCTTTATATTTAGTCAAACCTCTTTGCTATTTAATCAACTTATGCCTGCATAAAGCTATTTTTCCTGATTGTTTAAAAATTTCAAAAGTTATATGTTTATTTAAAAAGGGTAATCAAAAGGATATTAATAATTATAGGCCAATTTCATTGCTTCCAGTAATTTCAAAAATATTGGAAAAGGTTATTTTTAAAAGAATTGTCTCATTTTTAAAATGCAATAGTATTTTAGCCCAATCTCAACATGGCTTTACAGAAAAACGTTCAACCATGACAGCGCTGTGTAGTTTTTTGGATTTTGTGTATAGGCAGCTTGACAAGGGAAATAAAGTAATGGCTTTATTTGTAGATTTAATCATGAAATTCTCTTAAGTAGATTAGAATATTATGGTTTACGTGGTCACTGTAACAAACTTTTGAGATCATATTTTGCTAATAGAAAACAATTTGTTTCCTATAATGGGGCCAATTCCAATGTAAAAATAGTAGATATAGGGGTTCCCCAGGGCAGTGTTTTGGGGCCTCTTTTGTTTTTGTTATATTGTAATGATTTAAATCAAATAATTAATACTTTTCATTGTGAGTTTGCAGATGATATAACAGTGGTGGCTTCAAATACCTCACAGTTAAATACAGTAAGACAAGTTTGTAATAATCTTGAATCGCTTGCTGAATATTTTAAAGCATCAAAATTAGTTATGAATCAACAAAAGACTCAATTTATGCAATTCCATCCCTATAGTGCACATTATGTATGTAGTCCGTTAATTAAGCTTAACAATACAAGCATTGAACAAGTGTCAAGTTTTAAATTGCTGGGAGTTTATGTTGACCTTTCTTTGAATTGGAAGGTCCATATAGACTACCTTTGCAAGAAACTATCAAGCAATTGTTATGCGCTGAAGAGGTTGAATGCTATATCCAGCAAGTTTGTTGTCAAGACTTTTTACTACTCAAATTTTGAATCACATATTAGATATGGTATATTATGTTGGGGCTATTCAACAGATGTAGATAGAGTTTTTAAAATGCAAAAACGTGCGATTCGATGTATGTTTGGTCTAAGTTTTAATGAATCTTGTAAATGTTTTTTTATTAATGAATGTATTTTAACTGTACCCTGTATTTATATATATGAAATCCTAAAGTTTGTAAGGAATAATATGGACAAATTTAAGTCGTTAAACATAAATCACACATATATGACAAGATATGGTTTTAATTTGCAACATGATCGTCATAGAATGAGCTTATTCGAATTGAATCCATTATATATGGGTCCAGTACTATATAATATATTACCAGCTGAGTGGAAAGTTTTACTACTTAAAAGATTTTTTAAGTGTGTAAAAGAGTTTTTAATAGCAAATGCTTTTTATTCTGTAAGGGAATTTCATATGTATGCTTTTTAATATCTATTTTATCTATTTATTATTTTAATCAATGCATTTTGTGATTGTATTATGTTATATTAAGTGTTTATGTTTTTTTACTTGTTGTTTGTTTATGTTATTTATTACTGCTCATTATTTAGTACCTGCATGATACAAGTTGTATTTATATTTAATATTTATATTTAATACTTTTGTAAAATAATTGTTGACTTGTCCTATACTCTGTTTTGTAGTCAAAAGGATTAATAAATTTATTATTATTATTATTATTATACTATTTATTACTATATATATTATACCCTATAGGGATGTGCGAATATTCAAATTTACTATTAAGACAAATCGAATTGAATATTTAGATTTCAAATCCAAACAATTGTTGACGTCTGTCATCTGTCATTTTTAACATTTGTTTAGTGTTCTTTTTGTAATCTGACATCTGTCATATGTCATCTGTCATTTATGACACTAAGTCTTGTTATTAATATTTTGCATTTGTCACTTTTTAACATGGTTATTTTTTACATTTGTTTTTTTCATTTTCTCCATTTGTTTTGACAACTGTCATCTTTAATTTTTGACCGGAGACGTCGGTTTCTTGTTTGTAAATTTACAACGTAACAGCTCGAGTCCAATCAAATCATTTGATTCAAATGAAATATTCAAATAGTTCAAGTTTATCGAATATAAAGTTTTATAATTATTTATTCCAATTTCTTGTTATAAATATCGAATTAAACCATTAAATATCAAATTAAACCATTTTGTTATCGTCCTTTACTCAAAAAATTCCTCCGATCATGAAATCCCTCACAATTGTGAGGAATCTTAGACAGAAATATGTCTATAGGCAACAAAGTATACGTTAGTTGCATTATACGTCTTTATAGCTATTAGAGCTATATAGACGTATAGAAAGAATTTATTTATTTGAATTAAGATAAAAATAAATAAATAAAAGCCAAAGTTGCTTGTATTATTGGTGTTTATTGTGTAAAATAACAAAAAAGTGATAAATTAATAAAATACAAAGTAGCAAGAGTTTTATGTGGAAAACACAGTTTTAAAAAAATCCGCAATACTATCAAAGAGACTTTTAATTGCGGTACCAATGAGTTTTAAGCCATTTTTGATACCTTCTACAATATCCATTACAAGTTTTTTTAGCCAGTCAAACAAATCCGTAAAAAATTCAAGGAAGTGTCCCCAAAACGTAAGATATTCATCCTGTTGCGTTGGAGTCATGTCTTCTAAAGCACCCATAGCTTCTTGACGTTG